TAATGCCTTTTTTCTGACGTGGGTGGTGGTTGGAGTTTTTGTGTAGGTACCGGTCTGTGTGAGTGGGTTTTCTGATGGATCCAATTGGCCTGATCCATTATCAAAACCCTGATGGATCGTGCCAATCGGATTTGCGAAACCCAATTCCAAAACTCCCTATTATATTATTTGGAGAACTGTCTTAATGCAGCCGCAGAAAAACTGAGCAGTAGCAGAAATTATGAATGATTAATTCCATTATAGTATTTGTGTTTTCTCTAAGAAATAGGTATTATAAACACTTTTACAATTAAAAAGTTGACATTGAAATACAGTTAATCCATAATGCCACACAAAAATATATAAAGATTAGATGCTAACCATAATGAAAAACATGAGAAATATTCCACAAAATTTCAAATTTGTTCCTCACAATTCTTGGGTACAATTCTGTTCATCACAATTCACCTTTACATCTGCACCAGTATTAACAGTGACTACCTCTAACCCTGCATAAGGAATGCTGAGTTATCAGTGCAGATACGATATGTGAAACTAAGATATCCCCAAACCATAAAGGAACTATCAGCCTGTTGGCCCATGTCAGATCATTTAAATGTGATGGCTATCATCACTAAACTCTACATTGATATAACGTATAAAAGATTTGACTCAATATGTTGATGGCAGAAAGGGACTACAAATTCCATTCTAATTTTCATTTTACCGGATGTGTCAGTTCATTCAAAATAAAATGTTGTCTTTAAAATCATTGTACAGATCAACCTTTTTTGTCATTTGAAGCCTTATATATGAAGGAAGCAAAGTGTTGAAAATTTCCCTCCTGTTACATATGGGTAAATTAATAACTGGAAGCTGATGAAGATAGCAAAAATGATTAAGCCCATCAACAATCTCATTGAAAAATTCCAGTCTCCACTAAGATGTCACCATATCTTTTTCTTTTCTTTAGGGGGCAAACCTCAGATGTTTTCAATAGGACGTTTGGATTCTCCATTTCGGATAGGGCATCCATTCAGTATTCCTCTAGATGTCAAGGATGAATTTGGAAATACCACTCAACTGACAGAGGATATTGTACCGGTCCTTGAAGTGAGGTAATAGTTATTATTTCATTTTTATAACACTTAAGAAAAATTGCTGTGTGAGTGCATAATGCTGGGCATTATATATTTCATAAACTGTTTATTTGCTCTGTGTTATCATTAAACTAGAACATTGTCCTTTAAAATCTCTTATATTTAAGCTGGTTATAGGGAGCTTAGAATGGAATGCAATGGAATCCAATGGAACAAATGCTTCCTGTATCATAGCAAATATTTTTTTTTCTCCTCCCTTAATAAAGTGAGAATATATAAAGTGATGGCAGTTATAACAGTTTTTCTTAGATGTGAATGGATGATACCATATGTGACCATTCTGTAGAGAAAAAAGCTAGCTGAGGTTTCTTTTGTCTTGCTTCCTTCAAGCAAGTACAACTCCATGTCCTTTCTCTCCCACATCCTTCTCTCCCCAATTTTTTAAAAAGCTGAATCAGTTACAGATAAATAGCTAGACTTTGGGGTATTTTACTCTTTTGTGAACATGTGCATGTGTTTTCGTAATGAGAAAACAAGGCAGATGAGAAAACCAAGTTACAGATAATTTTGGAATCCCATAGATTTCATCTAGCAATCACTGTTCTTTTACACTCCAGCACTTAGTGAGGCAGAAAGGATGGTGGCAAAAGCTTCTCCCTTCTACCTCATTGCAAATACACACTCCACACATAGAGGACAGCAGATTAACTCTGCTTTTTCTAGTTAGAAGACAAGGCTTATGATTTCTTCCTGTTCTATGAGAAAACCCTCTTCCTTCAGTCCCACTTTCTCCCTCTTAGAAGAAGCAGTGGTTTTCCATTAACTCTATCTTCAGAGCCAAGAAGAGGGAAGGAGAGGGGAGGGAGGAAGAAGGGACGGATGTGCTGATTGGCACACTGGGAAGGCCAAAGTGTAGTGAGCGACATGGTGGAACCAGAAGTGAAAGAGCTTGATTGGTCAGATGGAAGGCCAAGATGGATCAGAGAAACTGCAGCCTCCAATGCCAGAGAAACAGTAAATCAGAAGTGATCAGCAGTGGTAGCAAATAAGCCCAGTAGCAGTGTAAGAGGTACAAGAGCCCTTTGAATCACCTTCCCACCTCCATTCTAGACTTGGTGGCATGCAATACTAGCAGTAGTGATTCTCCAGGAACCATCTAGAGCAAAAAGGCTGGGAAGAGTAGCATGACAACATCTGACTTCCCCAGACTGTAATAAGAGGCTACACATCAGATCTCCCTCCGTATGTTCACCAGAATGGCAGTGGGAGACCAAAAGTGTTAGGGTTATGTGAGCCCCAAAAGAACAAGGAAGTCATGGAATTACCACAATAGACCGGGGAGGCCCAAGGAAAAATGGCAGGGCACTATGCTTCAGATCCAGGTTATCTCTAAGAAATAGGTAAATGTGTTACATAGAAGATTCATTACAGTTTAATTTCTTTTGTTGGGTGTGCTTAAAACCAATGTTCTTTACACCTCTGTACAAGTAAGTAATTGTGTTTTATGACAGTGTTGAATCATACATCAGGCATGTTCCAGAAGATTCAGTATTTTCCTCTATAAAATCTTCCTGTCCTAATAAGAATAAGCCTGTCAGGCCTAGCCCAAGGAACTCGCAGAGACCATGTAAATTCAGTCCAGCAATGTTTATTAGCTACAACCTCTAGCAAGAATC